TATATATATAATACTTTACTTTGAGAAGTAATAATTAAAATACTATACATGATATAAAAAATCTTTTTATATATATTTGTTGCTTGTACTTTGATGTACAAAATGTCAATATTATCATAATTATAAAAAACAAAATGGCGGCGTTGCAGCATATTTTGGGAAACCTGCTTGTGATGAAGGCACTCATTATTAGCAGAATAAATCCAAGGTATGTTGTAACCAAAAAAAAATTTATTTGTAATTTGCATCAAATTTGCTAGAGAAATGTCTGGCAGAATTAAAAAATATTTAAAAATGTGAAAATGATGCATTTATGAAAAAAAAGGTTCAATTTTTACGTAAAAATTCGACATAAAAATATGAATTACAAAAAAATATATAAGTTATCGTAAAATTCAATTAACAAGATAATTCAATTGACAATAATCAGTAAAATTTCAAAGTATTTGGATGAAATTTGTGATAGTTTTGATATCCACTATTTTTGAAAACATTTTGAGAAAAAACCGTGATTAAAGTTTTAAATCAAGTTATTTTGTTCATAAAATAATAATTTTATTATTAATTATTTTTTTTTATCTTTAGTCAGCAATACTATATAGTAAATTATATAGTAAGCCTTTTGCATGAAGTATTTTCTTCGTCTTGATGTCGGAACGATTTGTCGCGAAAAGAGTCTCTTTTGCAGCGTCCGACATTCTATGTGTGCTCTGCGGTATTGATTCGATTATTATCGATTGACTCTGCAAAATTGTAGAACCTCGTTTCAATAATCAAGTTCATGATTTCCACGATTCTTATCAAGTTTTTGAAGCCATCATTGAAAGTCAGATGGCAATGTATGTACAAATATCCAAAATTATCTTGCCGCTGGAATGAAATTTTGGAGTCAAGGATCACACGAGGGTATTCAAACTTCCATTATTATTCTGCGTGTAATTACCTAAGCAATGAATCAGTAAATCATCCCTGCTCAAGTCTTCATAAACAGATTTAATAAACATCATTGAAGACATCTTGAAGAAGAGACCCTTTATGTTGGTAATCCAAGATGGTACCGGTAGTTTTGATTGCTGCCACGAGCACTATGATTTCGCTCCGGCTGGGCAAAGCTCATGCTGATTTTTTGTTGATCAAAATTTTATGCAAAATTGTTGCTAAATTATATTGCTCATTTTTTTTATGGAATTGTGATTTCTCCTTATAGCGAAACCATAATACTATCAATTTATTTATTAATTTTACAGTGAGTTTTTTCTTTTTCCGCCGAGTGTTTTTTTTTTTTAAACACGCCGTGTATTCATTCATTTCTACACATGACCAATACATTCCTTCTTTTGAACAACAATATCACCATATGATTCAGAATCAACAATGCCTTTAAAAGTCATACTGTCTCTATTATTAACATAGAAAGCATATTTCAGACCATGTAAATTGTCAGAACGTGTCAAACATTTCAACGATAGCGTCCATCTTCACCAGCGGAACCTTTGTGATTTATTTGATAATTTATATGGGATTTACTCCATTCTTTGTATTCTGTAGTGCCCTCCTTATTTTTCCAGAATTCGCAACTTTTATAATATACCGATTTCATGATAATATCAACTACTTTACCGGTGTAATGATCAATTAAAGAATCCCGAAGAAGAAAATCCACGTTTTCTTTAAGATCTATTGCTGGATACAATGATACTATTGGTAATTGAATTTTCAATTGATGACAATAAATTTTTGACAATAAATTTTTCAACACCTGCATTTTTTATTGATTGTTCGCAGACAGCAGACATGGCGATGGTTAGTACCTTCAATTATTTTGT